CTTTCACCCCAATCCTCCTCGAATTTCCCAGCCGTTTGCTCTCTCAAACACTCGAACAGAAGCTGTCCTTCACCCTCAATCACACACAACTCACAACCTCTCTTGATTCTCTCTCGAATCCTCCTCTTTCTCTGATTTTCGGCCAAAATGAGACCAACACGCGTCTGTTCCAGCCCTTTTATACAAACCCTAGGGTGTCNNCTAAACCGCTCCCCAAACCGGTAAATCAGAAACCGAAACCGTCGATCTGATTTTACTCCGTGGATCGACACACATGCCCAAAAAAATCCCCTTTTTAGTTCACGGACGTTACACCATTAATTTGCAACTAACTAATTAGACATCCTTAACAAAATCTATGATCACAATGAATATATAGAAAACATTGATGTTTCCTAAAAGTTTCTAAGCATATCATACAAATGTTTTCTTCTTTGTCTTGATTTCTTTCATAAGCTTCAAATATTTTTTTTTTGTAATGAATTGATTGACTTTTGGAAAACTAGTCTTTGAACAATGACGGTTGTATCAAAATATTATTTAATCGCTTGTTATTTTGTCACATTTGATGTTACTTCATTTATGTGAAGTGACAAAATATAATGTAACGATATTTATAATTGAGTAATCATGAGAAAATGTTATACTATCTACAAAAATAATGATGTTCATCAATATAGTGTTTGCATTATTAACTTTAACCTCTTTTCTTTGTAATAATTCATAAAAGTAATATTTATCTTTTCATTCATCTTGATATAAAAAATCAGTAAGATTAAAATGAAATGATCTTATTGTGTGTTGTAGTGAAATTATGGTAAATCTTTATTCGTATTACAAATAACCCGCCAAATTCTTCTTCAAATGATTGCCCAAATCTAACGTTCAATGTGAAAATTGTTTGATCCATTTAATTGTCCGTAAAGAATAAAGATGCCATAAGTAAAATCCAAGTATCGTAATTAGTCATTAAACAAAATACAGTATTCAACAAAATATTTTTGATATATATCAAAGTATATATGTTCTTACTTTTTAAAATATCGAATAAGACAAAGTACTTAAAAGGATAAAAAAGAAACCAATGAAAAATTGAAGTGATGGTAAAATTATCTTGAAGATTGATCGTAAAGGTAGTCTCTATTCGAGGATAATCAATAAAACAATTGGATTGAAGTAATACCGAAAGAGGTAGTGATGTAAAAGTATGAAGGAATTGAGAAGATTATGATTAACAAAATTAAAAAGATAAACATAGGAGAAGTGATGAGAAAGTGGGATTAATGTTTGTGAGAATTTAAATACAAACTCAGCGAAATCGTGAAGTTTGTTAAATTTACCATTAAAACTCAATGAAACACCACACCTATATAATAGGACAAAACGGTTGTTTATGACAAAAACAAATATTATCTCTTTTTCTTATTTATCTGTTATTTGAAAAAAAAAACATAATGAAAATAAATATATAACCAAATGGGACAATTAGTCCAATAACAATAATGACACAACTAATAAAGAATATAGCTAAGCATAATGTAGATTTAATTGACTAACTAATTGACCAAGAATTTGATAATTTTATCCTTATGTTTGACCATTTTCAATGTTGCAGGATGTTGATAACATGGACTCATTTGCAACTTGTATTATTTACCTTAAATTGTCATTTCTCTAATATAATAATTACATATTAATTAATTTAGCTAAATTTTAATTGCATCCAAATATATATTAATTTATTTTTTTTCGTAACCTTTGAAAGTGTATGTTTAGGAAATGAAAAATGTTTTAGGTCCCATATGTATAACACAATATAGTCCTAGAAACAATATATGTATGTTTCAATTTTGAAATGATATCCAGTCACATCATAAGGCATATAGAAGATTTGATTTAATTTTTTTTGGCTACTGTTTATGATTTCGAATTTGGAATTTAGTTACAAAATTTAGTGTTTAAGCTTTGGGTGTTTTGGTACAAAATTTAGAATTTAAAGTTTAATTTTATATTACTTTGTTAAGTTAAAATATCTAGATT